TGGGGATTTTAAAAGCACAACGCAACAAACCCCAACCCAAAATGCATAGTATTTTAGTTTTTACGATTTTCCTAAGTTTTCATATTCGAAAAATCATTAAAAAAATCAGCCAATCCGAATCATCCGTTTTTGTTGCGTTTCGTTCCTTGCATTTTTCTCCACCACCATGCAAAAAATCAGATAAAAACGACAACCTAAGAAAAGATCGTCCCTCGATGTGTCGAACGCCCCTTCCGTGCGCAAAAGCATGGTTACCGCTTTTGGGGATTTTAGAAGTACAACGCAAAAGACCCCCAACTCAAAATGCATAGTATTTTATTTTTTACGATTTTCCAAAATTTTAATTTTCAAAAAATCATTAAAAAAAATCATCTAATCCGAATCGCTCCGTTTTTGTTGCGTTTCGTTCCTTGCATTTTTCCCCACCAACATACAAAGAATCAGACCAAAATGAAAACCTATGAAAAGATCGTCCCTCGATGTGTCGAACGCCCCTGTTATGTGCGAAAGAAAGCTTGCTGCTCCACACCCAAAACGTGCACCCCAACTCTATACACCACAATTCAAATGGGGATTTTAGAAGCAAAACACAATAGACTCCGACCTAAAATGCACAGTATTTTATTTTTTACGATTTTCCAAAATTTTAATATTCGAAAAATCATTAAAAAAACTCACTCATTCGAATCACTTTGTTCTTATTGCGTTTCGTTCCTTGCATTTTTCCCACCAACATACAAAGAATCAAACCAAAATGAAAACCTACGAAAAGATCGTCCCTCAATGTGTCGAACGCCCCTATCATGTGCAAAAGAAAGGTTGCTGCTCCACACCCAAAACATGCACCCCAACTCTGTACACCACAATTCAAATGAGGATTTTAGAAGCACAACGCAACAGACCTCAGCCAAAAATGCATAGTATTTTATTTTTCACGATTTTCAAAAGTTTTAATCTTCGAAAAATCATTAAAAATAATCCGCTTGTCCGAATCGCTCCGTTCTTGTTGTGTTTCGTTCCTTGCATTTTTCCCCACCACCATGCAAAAAAATCAGATCAAAATTACGACCTACGAAAAGATCGTCCCTCGACGTCCTGAACGCCCCTACCGTACGCGAAAGCGAGGTTGTCGCTGCACACCAAAAGCGTGCACCCCAACTCTATACACCACAATTCAAATAGGGATTTTAGAAGAACAACGCAATAGACCCCGACCCAAAATGCGTAGTATTTTATTTTTTACGATTTTCATAATTTTTAATTTTTGAAAAATCATTAAAAAAAATCCGCTTGTCCGAATAGCCTCGTTGTTATTGCGTTTTGTTCCTTGCATTTTTCTCCACCACCATGAAAAAAATCAGATCAAAACGACGACCAGCAAAAAGATCATCCTAAACGCCCCTTCCGTGCCTGAAAGCGAGGTTGCAGCTGCACACCAAAAGCGTGCACCCCAACTCTGCACACCACAATTCAAATGAGGATTTTAGAAGCACAATGCAATAGACCTCGGCCTAAATGAGTAGCATTTTATTTTTTATGATTTTCCAAAGTTTTAATCTTCGAAAAATCATTAAAAAAAATCCAGTCGTCCGAATCGCTCCTTTTTGCTGCATTTCATTACTTGCATTTTCCCCACAACCATGCAAAAAATCAGATAAAAACGACAGCCTCCAAAAAGATCGTCCCTCGACGTCCCGATGTTGCCGGTGCACACCAAAAGCGTGCACCCAAACTCTGCAAACCACAACTCACATGGGGATTTTAGAAGCACAACGCAATAGAACCCGCCCCAAAATGCATAGTATTTTATTTTTTACAATTTTCCAAAATTTTAATCTTCAAAAAATCATTAAAAAAAATTCGTTCGTCTGAATCACTCCATTCTGCTTGCGTTTTGTTCCTTGCATTTTTGCCCACCCCCATGCAAAAAATCAGATCAAAACGACGACCTACAAAAAGATCCACACCATAATTCAAATGGGGATTTTAGAAGCACAACGCAATAGACCCTGACCCAAAATGCATAGTATTTTAGTTTTTACGATTTTCCAAATTTTTAATATTCGAAAAATCAGCTCGTCCGAATCATCCTTTTTTGTTGCATTTTGTTCCTTCCATTTTTCCCCACCACCATGCAAAAAATCAGATAAAAACGACAACCTATGAAAAGATCGTCCCTCGATGTGCCAAATGCCCCTTCCGTGCACAAAAGCATGGTTACCGCTTTACACCAAAAGCGTGTACCTCAACTCTACACACCAAAATTTATATGGGGATTTTAGAAGTACAAAGAAAAAGACCCTCGACCCAAAATGTATAGTATTTTCTTTTTACGATTTTCCAAAATTTTAATTTTAGAAAAATCATTAAAAAAAATCCGCTCGTCCGAATCACTCCGTTCTTATTGCATTTTGTTCCTTGCATTCTTCCCCACCAACATACAAATAATCAAACCAAAATGAAAACTACGAAAAGATCGTCCCTCGATGTGTCGAACGCCCCTACCTTGTGGGAAAGAAAGGTTGCTGCTCCACACCTAAAACGTGCACCCCAACTCTGCACACCACAATTCAAATGGGGATTTTAGAAGCAAAACGCAACAGAGTCCGACCTAAAATGCATAGTATTTTATTTTTTACGATTTTTTAAAATTTTAATCTTCGAAAAATCATTAAAAAAAACCCACTCATTCGAATCACTTTGTTCTTATTGCATTTCGTTCCTTGCATTTTTCCCCACCAATATACAAAGAATCACACCAAAATGAAAACCTACGAAAAGATTGTCCCTCGACATCCTGAACGCTCCTACTATGAGGGAAAGCGAGTTTGCTGCCACACACCAAAAGCGTGGACCCCAACTCTATACACCACAATTCAAATGGGGATTTTAGAAACACAACACAATAGACCCCGGCCCAAAATGCGTAGTATTTTATTTTTTACAATTTTTCAAAGTTTTAATCTTCGAAAAATCATTAAAAAAAATCCTCTCGTCCGAATCACTCCATTCTCTTTGCGTTTTGTTCCTTGCAATTTTCCCCACCACCATGCAAAAAATCAGATCAAAACGATGACCTATGAAAAGATCAACCTGAACGCCCTCGCCGTGCGCGGAAGCGAGGTTGCCGCTGCACACCGCAATTCAAATGCGGATTTTAGAAGCACAACGCAACAGACCCCAGCCCAAAATGTGCAGTGTTTTATTTTTCACGATTTTTCAAAATTTTAATTTTTGAAAAATCATTAAAAAAAATCCGCTCATCCAAATCGCTCCATTCTTTTTGCGTTTTGTTCCTTGCATTTTTCCCAACCACCATACAAAAAATCATATCAAAATGATGACCTACGAAAAGATCATCCCTCAATGTCTTGAATGCCCCTATCGTGCGCAAAAGCGAGGTTGCCGCTGCACACCAAAAGTGTGCACCCCAACTCTGCACACCATAATTCAAATGGGGATTTAAAAAATGCGCAGTATTTTATTTTTTACGATTTTCAAAAGTTTTAAGTTTTCAAAAAATCATTAAAAATAATCCGCTTGTCCGAAACGCTCCGTTCTTGTTGCATTTTGTTCCTTGCATTTTTCCCCACCAGCATGCAAAAAAATCAGATCAAAATGACGACCTACGAAAAGATCGTCTCTCGACGTCTCGAACACCCGTGTCGTGCCGGAAAGTGAGGTTGCTGCTGCACACCAAAAGCGTGCACCCCAACTCTGCACACCACAATTCAAATGGGGATTTTAGAAGCACAACGCAATAGACACCGGCTCAAAATCCAAAGTATTTTATTTTTAACGATTTTCCAAAATTTTAACTTTCGAAAAATCATTAAAAAAGATAAGTTCATCCGAATCACTACATTCTTTTTGCGTTTTGTTCCTTGTATTTTTCCCCACCACCATGCAAAAAATCAAATCAAAACGACGACCTATGAAAAGATCGTCCCTAGACGTCCTAAACGCCCCTACCATGCGCGAAAGCGAGGTTGCCGTTGCACGCTAAAAGCGTGCACCCCAACTCTGCACACCACAATTCAAATGGGGATTTTAAAAACACAACGCAACAGACTCTGACCGAAAATACGTAGTATTTTATTTTTTACGATTTTCCAAAGTTTTAACTTTCGAAAAATGATTAAAAAAAATCTGCTCCTCCGACTCACTCCATTCTTGTTGCGTTTCGTTCCTTGCATTTTTCCCCACCACCATTCAACAAATCAGATCAAAACAATGACCTACGAAAAGATCGTTCCGAACACCCCTATCGTGCGTGAAAGCGAGGTTGTTGCTGCACACTAAAGGCGTTCACTCCAACTATGCACACCACAATTCAAATGAAAATTTTAGAAATACAACGCAACAGACCCTGGCCCAAAATAAGTAGTATTTTATTTTTTACGATTTTCCAAATTTTAATCTTTGAAAAATCATTAAAAAAAATCCGCTCGTCCGAATCGCTTCGTTCTTGTTGCGTTTCGTTCCTTGCATTTTTCCCCACCGCCATACAAAAAATCAGATTAAAACAACGACCTATGAGAAGATCGTTCCTCGACGTCCTGAACGCCCCTGCCAAAATGTAGCAGCAACAGCACCCTGGGTTGGTTGGTGGTTGCACGTGGTGATGGGTGTTGTAGGCAATGTCGGTGGTGGTAGTGGGAGTGTGGGCAGTGTTTGCTGGTGGGCAGTGTTTGGGCGCCATTGTTTGCAAATATCAGCCAATGAAAAAGTTACATGCATAATAAAAATTTGCGCATCTGCAACTTGAACCTCTGACCTTGGAGTCAAAATCTAAGTAAAGCTCTGAACCACTTGGACAACACCATAGTTGTCAGATTACTCCTACCTTATTACACGTATCAGTTATTTGTATTTCAAATAACTCCGATTATCCTAAAATTACATCCAATACCATATTTGGATACGAGAGATATGGTTTTGCTTGTCGAATCGAAATTTTAATTTATGTCCTTGAAGAAAAAATAAGCTTCGAAAATTTGATTTTAAGAAAAAGTTTATTTTTTACCTGAAAAACTCATTTTTTGGGCTCGTCACAAGCCCCCAATCTCCTTTGGAACCCGCCCATCGTATCCTATGTCCAAATCCGTGTGGTTTAAAAAAAAAAATCACCCCGATCTGATGCCAGATCGTAAAGTTATCGCCTTCCGAACACTCTCCAACAATCCAAACCCCCCTCACGCCTCTCACAAACAAACCAGTTGGGCACTCAAACAATAATTTCTCACACTTGAATCGGTAAGTTCCTATTTAGATTGCTGCCTATATATGGTTTGTATAGTTGGTGAAGAAGCCATATGTATATATTTCCTTTCTAATTATTTATAACTTTTCCTATTTAGATTGCTTCTTCGTTTGGTTTCTCTAAAACTCTAAAGTACCTGTAAAAAATAATACCCATCTAATTAAGACTTGTTCAGCGAGAGGAGAAATGGATGCTATGCTGGGTTTAAGTAATATTAATTATGAAGTACTGCAGTCACGCTTTGTTTATCACTTTCCATTAGGTGAAATCCTTTTCCTTTTATCTGTTAGATTGCGAAAGTGGGTTATGCATACCTTTGAAACAATATTTTGTAATTATTTGGTGGTGCGACCATTTGCTAGTTTTCTTCTGTTGACAGTGAATGAAATATACGGTTTCCTTGTGTTGACAGTGAATGGAATCCTATCTTACATGAATGTAACAAAATAAGGAGAGAGTGGCTAGAGAGTTGTTTCATAAGTATTAACATTTCTGATGAATGCATAGGCATTTCTTGATACTTGTGGTGGATTGCTCTGATCCAAAGTTAATGAAACCATTAGATCTTTTCTTAGTGGACATGAAGTTCTAAAGTGTTACATATTGCTGTTTGGTGAAATAAATTTACAGAGGACACAGTTTGGATGGTGGAATGATTGAGCTACATTTGGATCCCCATGTAAATAAAACCGGAGACATCTGGCACATGCACATATTGCTGATGGGTATCTTATATCTCTATCTATGTTTATGGGTTATGTTAATCTTGCTTTTTAATGTTCAATGATTAGGTTTCAGTTATATAAATTTTTATTAGCATTTATCCCTTTCAGTTCATTGCAATATCATGGATTGAGTTTGCAATATTCTAAGATTTGTAATAAAGTTGGAAAAAGGTAACTCAATCGAGAAAATTCTGAGGGCCAACTTTAGTTTAATTGGCAGGAACCATTTTTGTTTAAATTACAAACACCTATTTTACTGGATTATTGTTAATGCTATTTACATAGGTCTTCAGTTGTGTGAAGATTCTTTTTTCTTTTTGACAAATTTTTCTATGAGATTAAAATTTGAAAATGCAAACCTGTCTCCCTCTCTCTCTGTTTCTCATATATGTGTTTTGATGGTGAGCTGATAATGGTACACATTTCAAATTATTTGTAGAAAGATCTTGTTGTATATGAAATGAATGTTCGCACGTTTACAGCTGATGAATCTTGTGGGTTGGATCCAGACATACGTGGCAGCTACCCAGGTTTGATAGAAAAGGTAATACTTTTGTGTATCGAACCAATAACTTAAGGCACTTCATCCATTATGTAACTAAAGATTGTTGTTTTAGAATATTATGGCAACTCTGTATCTCCTATTAAGCAACATCCAATAGATTTCTAGTCAGCAGGCCTAACTTTGAAATTCTAATGGGTATATAAGGATGTCACAAGCATGGGTGCGGGTGTTCATTGTGGACACAGGATTTAGTTCAGTGACTAAATACAAACCATTAACTGAAATGGGTTATGAAAATGGAAGTAGATGGGAACTTGATCCTGCAATCATGTGAGTTCTGGACTGGAAGGTTATTAGTAACCAAGACTTTCAAACTCCTATCTGGATGACATCTAGTTTTAAACTGTCACTGAATAAAAGGAATCAAATTTTGCAAAGCTGAAAGATCTTTGCTCAACTAATTTTTTCTTTGACTATTTGGTTCATCGGTGTTTTAGAGTCTTAGAAGACAAATTTCTTTATTACTTGCTCAAAAACACGAATTTTCCTATCAAAAAGCTGAAGTCTTATGTGATTCATTTTTATACTTCTATTTTTTTTATTGAAATATTAGTATCCTTCTTTAAGTTACACGAATACCATTTTGTTGTACCAAATGAATGAATACAATTTTGAATGCACTTCACCATAATTCCGCAATTTTAATGCTGGTACTACACTCTGTACTGCTGGAGTACAAGAATTTCTTTTTAAAGCTTATACCGACATCTAATTGCTTCGTTCACATTTATCCTATGCTTTATCTAGATTTTGTCATTGTGCTTGAGACTTAAAAATTCGAGAACATAATTGTATCTTCATGTCTTCACACGAGAACTACATCCACTGCTCACTCTTAGTGCTTGAAATAAGATATTATCAGTAGTTTACCGCAAACTCAAATTTGTCCAGCTTTGAACAAATATATTGAATGTTTCAGCTGAATTTGTTTTCCAATTTTTGTTCATGTCTTCTCACAGGTTTGAATGCATCGGTCTTATTCCTGGTATCGACACAGGTTTGCGTCGGCCATTTCTATAAAGTTCCTATGTTCTGAGAATATGGAAAAGTTGGAGAAACATATATTATATTTCAGAACATAATCTAGATTAGTGTATTTTATTAATGGTTTAATTAAATCTGTGCTCAATAGCTTAACAGGTTCAAAGACATCTGACAAGGCCTGAAAATTTTATATTACAACTGTTTAATGTAACATAGTCAGGGTTGCTGGTGCAATGGATGATTCACATTTCAAACTACATATGCAAACAGCTATGTATTTGTATATTTATATGTGCACAATCACATACAAAGTTATCCTATGTGTCCAGAGAAATCATATTATTATGTAAAAGTTAAATAAAGAAACGAAAAGTAACCTTAAGAACCAGTCCAAACTTTGGCCTTTTCTCCCAGCATTTCTCTTGTTTAAGAAATCAGCACCAGAAGATTGTGGACTATCAGCACCAGAAGATTGTGGACTACTTTGTATCATCTTTAGCTAAGAACAAGCAACATAGTTCACAGTTCTTTATGAGCAATATAATTTTAAAAAGTTCCTCTCCTCGGTTCCTACAAAACAATAAATTTTAAATCTTGGCGAAGTACATGCTAAGGTATTCTTTGTGAGCATCATACTCAATCTAGAAAATGTAAACAAACGTAAAAGCAAGGGCATTGCAATTAAAATATGCAAAGATATCACATGCATTCTACCGACTATTTTGTCACAAACTTCATGGGTTTATTTATGCAGTGCAAATCTTTTGAGTAAAGAGTAAACAAGTGCCTTATGCTCTATGGTTTTGGCCTTCGTAATAATGACACGAGCACCATATTAAGCATGATTCATCTATGATCTCTAGAACAAATAATGGCACTCTCAGCAGCCAATCAAGAAGGGCAATGCCATCAGCTTATAATCAATTCTATACCTCATTAATCATTTCAAAAGCTCTGCCTATAATTATTGCCACCAAACCTGGAAACAATCCAACTTAGTAATTTGTATCTCTAGAAACATAACATAATTGCAGGATTCAGCTAATATGAACCTAAACAGAGGCTGCTCTGATATCAATTTGAAAATCAACATTTTAAGTCAAACATAGTAGGCCTGGTTTATCTCAAAACCGTTAGCTACAACTTTCTGGACCTAAACTCTGTCTACATCTTGCTATGAACTTTCCACTATCCCATTATTTGTTTATACATATTTTTTTCTACTTTATTTATCCCTCGGCGGATAATTAATCCTAGTTTACAAGAATGCACTCTACTTTTCATCCCTTTGTCTGAGGTTTCAAAAAGTTGTCACTACCTCTTTTTCTTTTTGTAAGTTAACGAGGATTGGCTGATTGTCATCTCACCTCCCAAAACAGAATAAAAAATTAAGGTTAGATATGCAAGTACATGTTTCCTTTAGAATCATGGTCATCGATAAATATAAATAGTATAATGAAACAGCGATAGAATATATAAATTCTGCAACTTCAATAAAAACCTTGTTTTCTAGATGGTTTTCAAAGTTAAATCTGCAGAACCAAGAGACTATTCCTCATTTTTTTCTTGCTACTTCTGCATTAGGCCCACATCAAGAAAACTTGACAAGCTACTTTCTGAGCCTACCAGCCAAGCCAACCTTAGGTTTACATTCGGCCCAACATTCTGTTGAATATATGATTTTGCAATCTGTCTTTAGAAGTTCCATAATAATATTTTGCTCTTAAAATTTGTCAGTGTAAACAATTGGAATAATGAGCAATAGGGAAGTTTCATCTACATTTCAAATTAATGATCGACTAAGAGGATGCATAACTAGCATACCATGTTCAAATATCATAAGAACAATATTTTATATCCAACAAAATCTAAGAACTTCAGGACCTTTAATCATATTCTTAGACAAGCGAACATGAAATATAATATATGTTTCTTCAGCTTTTTGACCTATGTATATGTTTCTCCTAAAGTGAAGTTTCTAGCTTTCTGGAATTCTGAACTTGGGAGATCTCTGGGATCTTCAAGTCTCTAAGCATTGGCATTGCATCTTGATCTACATGCCACTCCTCCAATTCATAGAAATCAAACTGTAGAATTTCAAGTCGAGGGAAATCATCTGCCGGCCACTCATCCAATTCATAGAAATCAAATTGTAGGATTTCAAGTAATTTTCCTCTTTGTAGAACTTCACGAAGAGGAACAATTTGCTGATTTTTATTACTAAAACATCCATCAATCAAAATATTATTTGCTTTGGGTTCAAACTCGTACAGGCTAATATTATTATTGAAACACTTGATCTACTATCAAGATATTATCTATTTTGGGTATGAATTTGCTTTTGACTTTCACCAAAAAATAGCCTTGGCAACTTAGGAGCTCATAGAATCTTTTACTTCTTCCCAAGTTACTTAATTTGAAGGCCATAGGAGATTAAGAGAAAAAACTGAAAGAGAATTTATTAACACAAAATTAATAATCAATGAACCAGATCAGGATTAAAAGTAGGTTGAGTTATTTATAGGTACTCTGACATCTTAACATTCAAAATCGGCAAGGGCGGGATTGATGTTTGGGATCTGCAAGCCTCCAAGTATTGGTATAACATCTTCATCTACTTAGCCACTCCTCCAATTTAAGGAAATCAAAGTTGTAGCTCAGGGAAAACATCTACGAAGCAGATCTAAAATGAAAATATGAAAGAATTTTATGTGATAGTCATACGAATGACATCATATCTTTACCGTAAACTAAAACTAACGGCTCAACAATTTTAAGAAAAGAGAAAAGAGAAATTGATTGAAAGGAACAGCACATACATGGCACCGGAGCTGCAAAAGTAGAATGCCTATCACAGAGAATTATTACTACAAGACAATTGGTGGTTAAGAGAATAAAGAGCTGGGGCCATGCATATTCCGTTCACATCATCTTTTACGTTTTTTCTTTGAAATATAGCTATCTATCTGCAATTTTTTCACTGTGAAAACTCTGTGTCTTAAAGAATTCAAAGGGTCATCCTTTTCATTTTCACAGCTACAAACACTTACAATCTCACGAGTCTCACGTCTATTTCAATCTCTCGATCTCGTTAACTAATCACCATTATTACATCTTTCATCCAACGCTTAGAATTAGGGATTTCATTACAAAATAGTGTGGGTAGCCGTAGTCAAGAAAGTAACCAATCAGAGATTAGATGGGTAGCTCCGCATATGACAAAGAGAATGTGAATGTGAATGTGAATGTAAAAAACATCACTTTTCAAGAATTTGAAATTATATGGAAAGGTTTAGATGGCTTCAGCTTTTTGACCTATGTATGTATTTCTCCTAAAATGAAGTTTCTAGCTTGTTACTTGGAAAATCATTGTGACTTTACTTCACTTTATTATCAAACGAAGTCAAGTCACATTTATTTTATTTTTAATTTTCCTCTGTCGGTTTTTTATTAAAAAAGAAAATTATATGTAATTTATATGTATAGTATTTTTTAATTTTTTAAATTTTATTTTTCTGAGTCAGTCAATCATATATATCATCAAGATAATGCCTTTATTTGCAATACACCATAATTTAGGCTACCGGAACTGAAGACTCAGATCTAAAATCTAACCACTTTAGAGAAATAATAATAATAATAATAATAATAATACAAGGCATTTGTGATCCTTATTCAAAAAACTGATCCAAATCAAGTCCAGTCTCCGCCAAAAACTCCCTAACCAGCAGCAAGCTATTGCCAGGGGTCCCTCTTCTGGAGCTTTGCTGCCCCAATAACTTTAAGCAAAGTCAAATTTCAATTCCTAGATCCTCTAAACCAAGCCAAACTACACTTAGATACAAATCAAGTTCAAAATCTAGCTTTCAAAGTATGGTTGATGCAGTAGTATCATTTGTAGTGCAAAGGCTTGGGGACTTTATCATCCAGGAAGCAGTCTTCTTATTAGGAGTGAACTGGAATGGATGCTTAAGAAAAACAAAGCAACGATCCCATGATATGCTGGTGGGTATCTTCATTGATGAAAAATGGCCGAGTCTATGAATGATTATTTTTGTAATTGGATGGAAATTATGAATCGTAAACGAGAATATGATGAGAATTATCTGATGAAAAAGTTGTTGAAAAAAATAATTTTCATACGAGCCTGTACAATTTAAGTATGTTTCCTAATTGCATACTCTTATTCAATTTGAGTACTTAAAAATAATTAGTTCCATATAACATATTTCAAATGAAAATTGAAATACTTTTAGCATTTTTTTAGGTAAATGGAAATTTTACGAAGAATAAAGAATTACAACTTAAACGTAACTGACCGGAAAAGCATGCCTCTAAAACAAGAAGGGATGACGCCTAAACAAAGCAAAACAGCTCGGAAAAACACCTTTATCACACCCAAAACACGTCTCATGGATGACGACAAAGAAACCGCCCAGGAAGGCAAAGCAGAGGCCCTTTACACGGCCGAGAGAGAGAAAAAAAAATATAAAAAAAAAAAATAATAACAGCAACCACTAACAGGAGACCAAAACAACCTGGAGCATGGGAGAACAAAACCCAGAAAACGAACCAGCCAAGCCACCACACAACCAGCAAAAATAAACACAAGCAGCCCTAGTCACAGAGTTACATTTTATCATAGAGTTACATTCATTTTTAAATCTATCATACACAGGATGTAGTCAAGATTCTAAGTCAATGGGTTCAAAACATTAAAATTGATAAATTTACAATAAAATATATACTGGAGTAATAAACACAAAAATTTAATTTTTAAAAGTTATACATACTAAATTATCAATTCTATAATTGTGTTCGAAGATTTTTCATATTTTGAAAATATTGCATAATTGTTTCATTGACAATTTTATCAAATTTCTCTCTCTTAATATATTTAATAAGACAATCGTTTGATAATTGATCTCTCGTTTGATGTATTAGTCGGTTTTCATAATCTTCATTGTAAAAAATACTCTTTCAACCCTTGCAATAATTCATTTTGTATTAAAAAAATGTTAAGTAATAATTTTTTTGTGGGGTTTACGTGAAGTTAAGTAGGATTAAATTTGTAAAACTTCATAAAACATTAAGTCTTTTTTGATATTTTAAAAAATTGAGTGGGTTGAAATGCTTGATACATTATCAGTTTCTAGACTCTAGTCAATGGTGAAACTTGTTCGAAATTCAATGAAAACTGAGATAAGTCCTACCCAGTACCCACATAATTATTCAGCAGATAACTCTACTTTGTGGATGCAACACGCTTTACTTTTGATAAACAAAGGAAAAAAGAAAAGAAAAGAATAAGCTTGAAACGACTCAATAATTTGTAATCTAAATTATCATCAAATTAATTCATAAGATTATTAAGATCATATGGTTAGTGTTAAAGGAGAAACTGAGACCAACAGTTCAGTTAAAGTGAATTTAGAAGGGTGATTCAGCAGCTATAAGAGAAGAAGTGCAGAAACGCAACTGCTCAGCAGCTAGTAAGTAAAGAAGAAGATCTACAGTATTTGTTTCAAAAATCCTCAACGTTCAACGGTTATATTAAAGCTACAGTACTTTAACGTAACCACAGTGCCGATACAGTATTTCTACAGTATTATTCACTGTTCAACGGTTATATTAACAGGGATACTCTACTTTAACGTAGCTACAGTACCAACGCACTACTTTTTTAATAAGTTCAGATCCTACGGTCTGGAAATCTTCGTTTTGTGTTGTATGAGTGTTGAAGGGCTGGGATCTTTTTTCTTTAGCAAGTCACATGGATTGCCACCTCAGAAGCTGCTGTTCTAGGATCAAAGTTGCTGGGTTTTGGCTGAAGAACGAATTGGAATGGATGCAATGTTGGATTAAGGATGCAAGGATCTCATGATACGCCCGTGGGTATCTGGTATCATTGATCTTGCTTATGATGCTGAGGATGTCTTAGATGCATTTTCGCTCAAGGTGCAACATGGAGGGATTTCGAATACGGTCGACGTGGATGAAGGAGTAACACTGAAAAGAAGGCTAAGATTCTTTTCTTCTGTGATAAACTGCTCTTGCGCATTCAAAATGGTAAATTCGTATAGCACAAAGAGATTGAAAAACTCAGAATGAGAATCAGTGATCTCTCTCGGAAGCGAGAAGCATGCAAACTTCAAGATACTCGTAGCATGAGTGAAGGTAACAGCAAAGCTCTTGGCAAATTGAAAGATGAAGAGGACGTTGTCGGCTTCCATGCAGATGCTGACCAACTGTTGCCCAAACTTCTCGGAGGCGAGCCTGGGCGTATTGTCATTTCGATTTTTGGTATGGGTGGTTTGGGTAAAACTACTCTTGCTAAAAAGTTTTACCATAACAATGACGTTAACAAACATTTGATCATTGTGCTTGGGTTTCGATATCACAAGATTCCGATAATCGTAATGCTCTTCAAAGAATTATAGAGTCATTCAAGATGATCAAAACCAGAGAGGAGATGCAGGAGATAAGGAAGATGAGCAAAGAAAATTTGGAAAGAAAGCTTCACGAGTTTTTGCAAGAACAACGATATTTACTGGTGTTGGATGATGTATGGCAAAAGGAAACTTGGGAGAGCCTGAAACGAGCTTTCCCAGACAACAAGAATGGTAGTAGAGTAATTATCACCACACGCATCAAAGAAGTAGCGGAGCGTTCAGACGAGAAAACTTATCCCCACACGCTTCAATTGTTGAGTCCACAGGAGAGTTGGCAACTATTTTCTGAGAGTGCTTTTCAAAACGCAAATATCGTAGATGATGGATTGAAGAAGTTAGGAGAAGAGATGTTGCAAAAATGTGGTGGCCTTCCTCTTGCGATAGTTGTGTTGGGTGGGCTCTTGTCCACGAAGAAGCCTCCGGAATGGCGTGCGGTGTATGACAGCATTTGGCGACATTTAATTGATGATTCAATTCATATTGAATATTTGCTAGCTTTAAGTTTTAATGACTTACCTCATAAGTTGAAGCTGAGCTTTCTCTATATGGGTCTTTTTCCAGAGGATTTTGAGATCAACGTTGAAAAATTAATCCGATTGTTGGTGGCAGAAGGCTTTATACAGGAAGATGGAGGTCAAATAATGGAAGAAGTGGCTGCGGATTATTTGATAAAGTTGATTAACAGAAGTTTGGTACAAATAGACAAAAGATATTGGGGGACGGTTGTAACATGTCGAGTACATGTTCTTTTACGAGATCTTGCAATTAGGAAGGCAAAAGAACTGAACTTTTATCATATGTATGATCAAATCAGTGATTCATGTACTCGCTCATTATCATCATGTCGACGTCAAGCTGTTTATTCGGAAAGGAAGAGGTTTCTGTGGCTTCGACATTCTAATAAGCTCTCTCGTTCCTTTCTGTTCTTCAATAGACAAACTAGCCAGCAGCTTACACCATTGTGCAAAAAATTTAAATTTCTTAGAGTGCTCGAAGTCGACCTTTTTGGAATGAGTTTACCTAAAGAGATAGGAAAGTTGATTCATTTGATGTATCTGGGGTTACGGGGAGTATTTGCCTTACCATCATCCATCGGCAACTTGCAGAGGTTACAATCTTTGAAGATAGAAGGAGCTCAATCGTGTGTTTCTTTACCAACGGAAATTTCAAAGTTGCAAGAATTGAGGCATCTAATTGGATTCTTTTCAGGGTCTTTGCCGATAGCAAATTTGAAAAAGCTCTTGACTCTAAAACATGTATATCATTCAAGCTGGGGGAAGCTCAACGCTGAAAGTTTGGTTGATCTTCAAGAGCTGCAAATTGAATCTGATGATCTTCCTATTTCAGAGTTCAAATTTGAGACTGTTGCAAAACTTAGAAGCCTTCGTGTTTTATCAGTTTGGGCCCATGGGTCATTTCCTTCTCTACAATTACTCGGTCATTGCCGATGTCTTGTAGATTTGAGACTAAGTGGGAGAATAGAGAAACTCCCAGAAAACTTGGACGAAATCTTTCCAAATCTTGAAGGCCTTAAGTTAGCGGGTTCGTTGCTAGAGGAAGACTCGATCCCTTCATTAAGAATTCAATTACTATATTACCTAAAATTTGACAAAAGGTGAAAATATTTTACTTTTTATTTATAATTTTTGAAAAAAAAAAGAAAATAGAAAAAAGAAAAAGCAAAGCTTGAACCGACCGTATAAATTGCAATCTAAAGTATCATCAAAACTGGAAATACCATAATCTAATCCCTGAATTTCGAAAGAAATGCTAGGAATAACAAAAGCATCTCTCTCTCTCTCCAATTTGCATAATTAATGCATGTTTTTTAATTCCCTAATTTAGATGCAATTTCAACAATTGAAATGCATTAATTTAACAGTTCATTGTGTCAAAAAATGGTGATCCTGAACCTTCCCATATATATATATATATATATATATATATAAAAGCTTAATTTGACTTTTATATTCTTTGATGGCTAATATATATATGACCTACTAGCTTAATTTTACTTTTATATTCTTTAATAGTTATCATAAATGAAACGGCTAGCAATTTACCTTAATGTTGACTAGCATGTTGGATTCAAAATTATTAAGAAACTATACAAGACAGCAAGCCATTAATCCAGATTCAAAAGCTTGATCTATGTTGGATTCAAATATAAATATTAGGCCCTGACCCATTAACTTAACCTTTTAGATGGAATGACAAACTTTAAAACAAAAAAGAGAAGAACAAATTGAAATGGATGCAACAATTTATAAAAGATGCAGAAGAAAAACAAGTTGAAGATGTCATGATTAGCAAGTGGGTATTTGACATCAGGGAGCTTGCTCATGATACTGAGGATATCTTTCATGCTCAAAGTCCATGATTAAGGGACTTTGATTTCGCTAACACTCGGTGAGGGAGGGACTTCAAAAAGAAGGGCCATATCCATTTCTTCCATCAATGGTGTCTACAGAAAATTCAAGGAAACGGTTAATTTATATCGCATTGGCAAAGGGATTAAAGAACACGGAAAAAATAATCGATGATCTCTCTCTCACGCGTGAATCATACCATCTTGAGGATATTGGTTGCACGAGGGAAGGAAGGTGCAAAACTGTGGAAAGATTGAATGAAGTAAGAAGAGCCAACTAATGTGTTTTAAGATAAGAAAAAAATAATATACATTTAAAAAAAGCACAGTTATTATATTAGTTTTTAGGAAATAATTTGTATAAATAGTTTATATATGTAATTTTATTGAATAAGATATCATGAAAACTGATTTACGAAACTCCAATAACAATAGGGAAGATATTAACAACGGGGAAAGTAGGAAAAGAAAATAATGAATGTCAATTCTTTAAAATATTTAGAAATATTGATTTGAATTTTTTTGGGTAACATATATACTATAGTAGGATTGAAAAACGAACCGAGTTGTTCGTGAACAGCTTGATGTTCGTTCGATAACAGCTCGATAACAAACTATTCGCAAACATTTTGATGTTCGTTCGATAATGTATTCAATTCGAGTTCGAACATGGGGTGTTCGTTTGATTATGTTCGCAAACATACTGCGTTCAAGTGATCCATCCATTCGCGAACACCCTATTCGCTTATTTGTTCGTTTATGTTCGAAAACATGATATACATTATTATGTATATTTATATGATGCTAAATTTATATGATGCTAAGTTTATCAAGGATTTTATATGACTTAGTGTTAAAAATGCAATTCTTTTAACTTTAACGTCCTTAGTTCAAGTTGTAATAATATCATATTTATATTTTTTTTTCTTTGTTATGTAATGTTTGGCATAGTTTGGATATTTTTTTTTTTTTTTTATGAAAATTAATAATAAAATATTATGATGCTTTTGTTATATATATATAATTATCTTATATAATATGTTTGGATTTTTTTTTCAAATGTCATAAATAATAGTATACAACATTTTAATTAATAAATATAAATTATTATGATATATAGCATGACAAATTTAATACATAATGATTGTAATAAGTGATATACATAACAAATCTAATAACTAATAGTTTTATATTTTCCAAATATAATTACTAATTAAATATTAGATAGCATTTCAATTAATAAATAATACTACAGTATGATAAATTAATGAACATAACATATTGTTAATCAAGTGATATATATCATGACAATTTAGTAATATAATAGCTTAATAAAACCTAAGTTTTACATATATTAACAAATTAATCACACATTTGTATTGATCATAATTACAATAAACCCTCATATTACTATAAATTTATGGGTATTGATACAAATATATATGTACCATTTAAAATATTTATGTAACTTATGTAATCATAATATATATATATAACCTATAATTTTGATAATTTAATAGCATATTAAACATATCTAGTCTATGATTAATATATGTATGATAATAATTTTATATATACATAATTACACATTATATATATATAAAATAAAAACCCAATAACCAACAAACTAACCCGGCCACGCCCAAATTTGGTATATATGTTTTATTCGAACAGGTATTCGAACGAGTTATTCGAACATGTATTTACAAGTTATTCGAACGATTAATTGAACGATTAGTCAAATGATAATGAACAGCTTGTTTTGTTAATTGAACAAACTCGAATGGCTATTTTGTGTTCGCTCAAGTTCAAATATGATTTCGAGCAACCCTTTGTGTTGATCGAACGAATTGACACGGTATAAATGGGCCTTAGTCGGTCCAAGGCTAGACTTGAATGGGTTGTCACGAAGGACAACGCCATAACCATAGGACAATACTTAGAATTCAGTAACATGATGTCACGTGTCTGCATTATGGTCCTTTTAGATTTCCATTATTTTAGTTGTTAAGTCATCTTGTATATACCATAAGTAGAGTCAGTCAAATGTTTTATTTCTTTAAGTTGAGTTGGTCAACATTTAGTTATAATAGTGGGCTATAGTTTAGCTATTTTGAGGTATTCTTTAGCCATCCAATCTTTAGTTATTTAGTTGGGTATCTGATAGCTATTTAGTTGCTATTAATGGGTATCTGATGTTGAGTCGTGCTTATGTTTGTAAGTTTATAAATTCTACATATCATGAGTAATAAAAAGATTAGAGAAAATTCCAAAACTTGTTCCTTAAAGTATACTGTCCTTTTTTTTTTTCCTTTTGATTAAATCTTGATCAACAACATAGCTCGAGATCGAGGACAGGGTCGAGGTAGAGGACGGGGTCGTGACAC